CATGCAGTTATGCAAGGTACACCAACATAAGGTATACTCACTATGTATATATATATATATATAAACAAATATATGTTTATATAGCATTTTTAATGTAGGTAGATCATTTTGAATTGGTCATTTTAAAAGTAGCTCCCAAGGTGAAAAAGTGTGGGCACCCCTGCTGTAGATAGATAGATACTGTAGATAGCTAGATAGATGGATGGATGGATGGATAGATTATTTTTAAAGTTGTATTTAAATCTTTCCATTATCCTACACAGACCAGTGTACAGTTTTATTATTGTGCTGCTGTGTCTATTGTATTTTTGTAACTCTGGCACAACATTTTCCTTCGGGATACTATCTTATCTTATCTTATTGTTAATTCTCTGTTGATATGGCTATGATATTTGTTATCCTAAATTAGTTATGCCATGGTGGTCATCTAGTGGAATCTGATAAGGGGGGAACAATTTCCCTCGGGATTAATAAAGTCCTCTCTTATCTTATCTTATCTTATCTTATCTTACAGACAAACCTTTCTCATACGCCCACATGAGGCAGGTCTGCTCATCTTTCTCCCCGCTGGAGCGGCTCGGGTCGCAGGCCACCAGGTTCATGTCGGCGCCGCTGTCCAGCAGGGACTGCACCAGGCGGATGTGCCCATGGAAACAGGCGCTGTGCAGAGCTTAAAAAGATCAAACAAGGACATGTATCACAGCATTATTATTAAAATCACAACTACATTTAAATTTGACTGCACATGTGTTGAAGGTCACCTATTATGCAAAACCCACTTCTTCATGTCTCTTCTACATCAACACGTGTCCCCTCTGTGTAAATAGATTCTGAAAGTTTCAGGAACAAAGATTCTCTCTCTTTTTGTCCTGATCCATTTATATAAAAACCTGTCTGAAAATGAGCTGATCAGATTTTGACCACTTTATGATGTCATAACGATTTTGTGGCTTGTGTAACCATTAGCCAATCACCAGCGAAGGTAGCCCCCCCCCCCCTTATCACCTGAATCTCCTCCTAGAGCACCATTGTGTTCTTTTTAACCAAATCTCTCTCAGAGGGGCGTGGGGAGGGGCTCCTTATTTTCATCTAAAGTAACAGACAGAGAATCAGCACTTTGGAAACAGGGCTGAAACAGAGGGGATTATGGGATGCTGCAATGATCTGTTTAGTGTTTGGAGCCAAACACTTCAGAGACATGTTTTGTATATATCTGAGACCTATACTCTATTGATGAAAAACAGTATAATAGGGGACCTTTAAGGGGAGTTATAAAACACTCTCACCTGTGTGTCCGTCTCTACCCTGAGTGTTGATGCTCATGGCGTTCTGGCTCAACAAGAACTTCACCATCTCCAGGTCTTTACCATATGTGCACGCACTGTAACACAAAACATGGTCTCATCATCACCTCAGAGCAGCATGATTCACAGGTTGGAGAGGAAAGTGTGCCATATAGCATGCATTATGCACAGCAGGTGTTAGTCAGACTATAAATAAATACAGTGTGAGACAATACCTGTGGAGGGCCGTCTCACTGAATATGTTCTCCTTCGTCAGACTGTCTGTGCCTGAAAGCTGAATCAACTCCTTAGCAGCCTCACATTTCCCATTATAGCAGGCCCTGGTGAGACACACATTTCAATACAGCGCTTCATGTCATCGTACACGAACGTGCAGAAGGTTATTGACAGTGTGAATCATTTACAGGTGTAATGGTGTGTCCCCGTAGATGTTGACGGAGTGAGGCTGCACGTCGAAGTTTCCCTGAAGGAGGAAGCGCACAATCTCATGATGACCAAAGCGCGCGCAGAAGTGAAGAGGGACGTGGTCCTCGTTGTCGAGAGCATTTACTGGAGAGAAGAGCAGAACAAGTTACGGTAAATTAAACATTTAATCCCACTCTGGACATGATGAACATGATGACGTCACTATGTAACATTTGTGCTTCTATTGGCTAGCGCTCCAACCGATGTACGTGACAAGCTAAGGGGTGGGACAACCAATCACAACAGAGCCGGCCAGCTAACCAATCAGATCACCTTAGCTCTGGTTTCAGACCGAGGGTTAATAGAGGTGCTGCAGAACAGGCAGTATGAGAAAAACACTTTTTGAACATTAAGGCATCTATTTTATATGAATATTGTTATTAAAATTCTGCTGTGTTTTATTGAAAAGTCTATATTCTTAGGAACCACCTGTTGGAGTCCCATGTCTCACCGTTGGCTTTGCTCCCGTCCCCCAGCAGCAGTTCCATGATACAGAGGAACCCTCGGGCCGCAGCCAGGTGCAGAGGCCGGTCCCCCACCTCCCCGCTCGCATTCACATCCGCCCCGAACTTCAGCAGCAGCTTGGCCAGCTTTAAAGCAGAGAGATTAGTACACACATACATTTGGATGAGAAAAGTACTTATTTTCTCTAAGAATGCAGAAGTGGTTGATAAGAGAACTTTACCTGCTCGTAGTTGTTATAAGAAGCAATATGCAGTGGAGAGAAAAACACGGCATCCTGAACGTTCACATTAGCTCCGTGCTGCAGCAGGATATCTGCGGCCTGGTGGAGGGAATACACATTAACAAGGTTTAAATAGAAACGTCCTTTATGTCTAAATGAGAATCCCCATTAGCAACAGCATGAGCATTGGCTCTTCTTCCTGGGGTCCGAACACATACAGACAAACATACACACTATAATCACAACACACATCAACAGACAAAACAACGTATCTAATGTCGTGAACAATCAAAGTGAAACAAAAATGCTAAATTATAGAGCTGTTGATATTTTTTCCTCACTGAAAAATAAATCCCGGCTCTCACCTCGTGGTGTCCGGCCATCGTGGCGATGTGCAGGGCGGTGAGGGCTCCGTACCCGACCTGCTGCACGTCAGACCCCCCGTGGAGGAGAGCCGTCAGCAGCTCAGCATTATCCTGCAGAGGATCCACATTTTATTTATTGACTTATCGTGTCAATAGACTACTCAACTTAGTATTTAGTTTTTCTATAGGTAAAACAAAATAGCTTATAAAATACTTAGCCCTACCGTGAGGCATCCAATTACATAGTTTTTAACCAAGACCTCAAACATTGAGGCGAAATAACAACACACTTTCCAAATGCATAAAAAATAATATTTCAAGTCTTAAGGTAAGAATTGTAATAATCCAATAAAATGCATTTTATTCTAAATGGGCCTCTTTGCATAATGAATACTTACCTTCACTAAAAGTAACATTTTGAAGGTACTGTAGGACTTTTACTTGTAAAGGAGTATTTATTCCCTGTGGTATTACTACATGTTACTCAAGTAGAAGTTGTTCTTCCACCTCTGGCACTTGCACTCCACCATGTGGTCGGACAGCTCTTCACCACACAACAACACAAACAAAACAAGATAGATTGCACCTAAAAAACTTGAACTTTGAACCCTGTATTTATTGCTCTTCATTCCTCTCCACCTTGTAAGCAGCCAGGTGCAGCGCGGTGAAGCCGTTCCTCGACAGTCTGGAGGGTCGCAGGCCTTTCAGCATCAGTGTGCGGACGTGCTCTTTGTTACCTGAACACAACACGTACAATCAGGCTGTGATAAAGTACATTTACTCAAGTACTTTACTGAAGTACAATTTTGAGATACTTATCTTGACTATATTCATTTTACTCTGTATCATACTTCTACCTCACAACATCTCAGAGGGAAATATTCAACTTGTCTATCCTCTCTACATTAACAAAATATAAAGCAACAAAAAAAATCATCATTAACAATAAATTGAATATTATACTATTATACTATAAATATTCATAATTTTTATATAGATATATTTATAAATCTATCTATATAAAAATTATGAATATTTCTGTAATCAAATCTTCTGCATAATAAGTACTTTTGGTATTTGAAAACATAATGATACTTATACTTTTGTACTTTTAATTACAACTACTTACTTTTCAAACTCGTATTTCTACACCTGTACTTAATATGTGAGTACCTCTCTTTCATTACTGATTTCCTCCAATTTGACTCTTTCTATATCTTTTTATACAATATAACAGATCTACAGTTCATGTGAGCAGCAGCAGAGGTCGTCTGCAGACAGTGGTGTCACTCAGTTCACGGTGATCCTCTCTTCCAGAGTTATTATTAGAGAGTAGTAGTCATGCATACCTCCACACGCGCAGCAGAGGTGCAGCAGCGACAGACCCTTCTCTGTTCGGTAACTCACGTTCACCTTCCGGAAAGCCTCATCAGAGCTGAGACGCACAAAATACACATCACCTGCTTACAGGGTTGTAATCAAATGTAAATGTTCACGTAACATTACATTCATATAATGCTTTTATCCAAAAGGACTTGAAATAAGTTTAATTAAGATACGAACTCGGAGCATCAAGAATCCTACATTTGCTTCAAATAAGAAAAAACATTGTGCATTATTTTGAATTAGGTTAAATCTTTAGGGATTACATTTGATTTTAATTATTTATATTTGATGTTAGGTTTAATGGCCAAGGTGCAGCGACCGTTAAAACAATAACATCATTTTAAATCTGAAAGAAGAAACAGCATTTAATAATTGTTGTATAACTCAAGCATGTTAGTTTACAGATAAGCAGCACTATATAGCATTTTGTATTCATTGCTAAATGAATAGTAAGGGGGTGTAGGGGAATAGTAAATCAACATCAGCTATTAGGTTTTAAAATAATGTCCTAATTAACAATATCCTATCCTTTTCAATTCCTTTGATAAGCAAATGTGCATGGTACAGTTAGTCACCTCACTTAGCTGCTTGTGAGAAGTGACACAACATAAAAAGTTGATCAATTCAATTGAGTTAAATGTATGTTGTCACCTGAAAGCCAGTTGGAGCTCCCCGAGCTCGCTGTCTTTGAGCGTGAAGTCATCATCTAACTTCTCTACGATCAGAGAGTACGACTCGCCCACCTTCTTCTTCCACTCATCTTCATCAGGGTTAAACACAACAACACTTCTTCAATTTCATCTGATATAGAATGCTTTTATTTTCCATCTGCAGAAATATCTCTTAATGAACATGTATCAAATAGTGCAAACAACAGTTTTTAAGCCCTACATATAATCTTTATCAATCACTTGTTTTTTAAATGGCTTGTACATGTCAGTGTGTGTATTGCTGAGTAATGGCAGCCACACAAACCACCAGGCTTCCCTTCTTCATTTAAAATCTCTTTCTCAGTTCTGTCGATACATATAATATTAATAAAACTATGACAAACACACCGTCCTTTACCTGTGCATGTCTGCGATGGTCTGGATTTGTAGTTTCCCATTGATAAGGCGTCTCTTCTCCTGTGATGTGTGCTGTATTGTTTGGTAAAGCAGTAATACAATCTCTGAGCCACTATCACACAGGTCCAGATAAAGCACGGATCATGGCTGAGGGCTAAAAATAAACTCCTTAGAGTGGAATGCCCAACAACTACGACAACCGATCTCCCTCCAAATGCAAGCAGCCGTGTATCACTGTGACTGTGTGTGACATTGAAAAATATATAAAGTATTTGGATATTTTAGTATATTTTCTCTCATGTCTTCATTTTGCAGACATATTGACGTGTCATTCTCGAAAAAAAGCACGAGTAAAACTACAGCTATAACAACGATAATGAGTCCATACAATATGGAAACGAATAATGTTATTGGACACACTTGACTGTAAAAAAAGAAGGTATATTTGAAAGCAATATAATTGTCTCACACTATAACAAGACTTAGGGCATGTTAATCGAGCACAGTGTTGATTAACATTTCACCAGAAAGCTATATTTAAATAAAAAAATGTAAGTATTGACTTCATAAAAAGTGAATCAGATGACTAAATCCATATCAGCTAGGGCTGCTCGATTATGGCAAAAATCATAATCTCGATTATTTGGGTCAATAATTATCCATTTACTTTGAAAACATACATTTATTGGAGAAAAAGAATTTGAACAGTATGTTTTTAACAGTTGATTACCCTGAACTTTAAGTATAATTCCACTGAAAAACCAATAATAAAAAAATAATCGTTTTATTTAGATTACGTTGTTTTCGTAATCGTTGCAAGCCATAATCGTAATTGCGATTCAAATACGATTAATTGAGCAGCCCTAATATCAGCTCTTCACACTGTTGAAACAATCATTTGATAATCAAAGAATCCTAGCATAATAAATGATTTACAGCACAATCAATGTTTTCTGGCACCTAAACAGTCTCATAATCTGAATGAAAGTCTTCAGTTGTTAGGTTTCCTCTGTTTGATGTCTTCATAAAGTCCTGTTCTGAACTCCAACATCTGCTGCAGGTCTTTACACTGTAAGGCCTCCTGCATGGACATCAGCTGTGTGTCTCTGGGTAAAGTGAAAGTAGAGCCACTCAGCGCGGCCTGCAGCATCTCCAGAGTCAGTGAAAAGGAGCTCTGTTGATCCGAGCAAACAGGAAACAAACAAGCGCTCCACAAACTACAGTTTGAAGCATCAGCGGAGAACCTCAGGGCTTCGTTCTCGAGCCCCCAGCGAGACAAAGACTCTGAGACGCTGACACCAAACAGATTCAAATCTTCCATAAACGCCGGGGCTTCCACGCTGCGCTTCAAGTCGTCGTTTATGCCAAAGACGACGGTTACAAACCTGGTTTTCTGCTTGTGATTCACACACAGGGAATGCATGAAGACGCTATCGGGCACAGAGAGTCCTGCAGGGATCCAGCAGCTGCTTACGATGGAGCCAACGCCGACAGAAGCTCCTGCTCCCAGTCTGGAATATTCCACCACTGACCCAGCTCCCACAGAGACACTGGGGTCCAGGACGCTATGCATAACGCAGCATCCTGAGTTTTCCTTCATATCCACGCTGAATGCAGAGGACAGGAGACCCAGCTCAGTCCTCAGCATCACATCCTCCGTGAGGTGAAACAGGTACTCTGACGTGGTTCCAATGTGATAAAACTTGGAGTTGTTCAAGAGGATAACATTCAAAGGAGTTCCTTTTAGATGATGGAAGATCTTTTGGCGGATTGCCACTAGACTGCTCTCCTCTTTGGTGACATTCGCAGTGTTGATGGTGTAATCTATCGTGGCGTTAGGACCCAGTGCTTGGAGGAAGTCTCCGTAAGCGTCCACCTCACAGTCCAAAGGCCCTAACTCCTTCAGCAGATTGAGAAGAGACATCGCTGTATTAAAATCAATGTAATAGGTGCTGTCTGTGTAGGCAAACTCGGCTTCAGAAAGCACGAAACAACCACTCTGCCTTTTACAAACAGCCCCGGTGTCACGCATCTTATCGACGCTCGGTTTGTGCAGAAAGAGCAGGCAGGAGGTGTTTTCAATTTCAGAATTAGACGATTTTTCTTTTGAATCCAACACAAACACTCCATGGGTGGTCCCGATAGAGAGTGGGGAGGGGTGGCCTAATGCAGTGAAGCCAGGTTTGTCGAACTTAACCCTCTCATCCTCTGAGGTGCTGTAGAGCTCGATGTCGTCCGCGCAGGTCACCAGCACACCGGGCTTCATCTGAGACGGGAAATCCACATATAACGCCAGTTTGAGCTCCAGCATCTGGTAGAGAGGGTCCCCCAGAGGCACGGCCGTGAAGATCTTCCCCAGAGCGCTGGCACTCGGCAGGCGCTGGCTGAACCCTCCTGGAGACGATGAGAAGAGGGAAACATCACAAACAGTACGAGAATAATTCAAAATGTCTGAGCATTTGCAATCCACACCTTCATTTTGAAATGGGGGTGGGCAATATGGTCAAAATGTATATTTCAACACTGTATATTTTATTTTAAATCACCATAACTGTATTCATCAGGATACAATTATTGTTCTGTAAATGTAATTAATAAATGCTTTAAATTAACCATACTATACTGTATCATAGGGCTGCTCGATTATGGCCAAAATCATAATCTCGATTATTTGGGTCAATAATTGATATCACGATTATTAAAAACGATTATCCATTTACTTTGAAAACATCAATTTATTGGAGAAAAAAAAATTTAACAGTATGTTTTTAACAGTTGATTACCGTGAACTTTAAGTATAATTCAACTGAAAAACCAATAAAAAAAAAGAATAATTTGAAAAAAAAAAGAAAAAGTAATAATAATACAAAAATAATCGTAATTGCGATTAAAATACGATGAATTGAGCCGCCCTACTGTATCACATGTGATTTGTTTTCTACAATTTGCACAGCATCAAACAACACAATTACATATAACTGTACAAATAAAACTCTTTCAAAATGAAAACTTTAAGGTTTCTGAATAAAAATATAATTTACAGTTTTAAGGCAAACAGGTGCAACAATAAGTGTTCTGACTTATTTCCAGTGGCGGCGCCAGGGTATTCTTTCACACACACATACGGGTTTTGGGCCGAGGGCGACACCGTACTTCCGGTATCAACCATTTCACGCGAGGTGCATACAGAATATCATAGTCGATTGCCTTAATCAATATAGTCAACTCTAAAATACCACAGATATGCATTGGCATGATAATATTATTGTGACAAGTGGGGTATTCACCTGGTGTTTCCAGAAGATAGACGTAGATGCAGCCAAAATCGACCGAAGGCCACTTTTGAGGGTCGTAATTCCATACATTGTACATCCAACAACCCACACAGCTCTAGTTTACGCTGGTAACGACCTAGAGCACACCCCTCAAGTCCAGAGATGTAATCCGAAGACATGCAGCGATTTCTTCGGTCGTTAAATCAGAAAAAAAACCTAGTGCGCTCTCCCTGGCGACATAAGCTAGCTGTTTATATAGCATTGCCAGGATTTTTGCACCTCCAGAAAAATGGCGTCTTTATAAAAAAATATATGGCGCGCGCATTGTGGGTAGCTGTGACGTCACTGTGTGTGAAAGAATGGCTGGGGTAGGCTACAGCCATACCAAGAAATGGCTTAGCCCCACCATGAAAAATTATGTTAAAGTAAGCAAAATAAAGTCAGCCAACTCACGCGGAGTAAATTGCACAGACAGCAGTTTGTAAGATTGATTTCAGTAGCCACTTGTCTGGAAATACCGAAGACCAGAAACGGTTTTGAAAACTTTTGTCACGTAGTGATCGTCTTCTCAATAAAACATCTTTGATAATATCTTCTGGCCAATCAGAATCACGATAACGGCGTGGTGTTGTTGCAGGAAGTCCCGACGGAGAATACTTTTGCGGTAGTACATCTCTACATCGATACAACATTACGTGTTGATAGAAATCAACACGTAATGAAATAAGACCCCACGGTTTGATGATTGATAGGTGTGTGGGCTGTCTTTCATTTTGACACACAGAACAATGGGGGCTATCCACCCTTATCCTCAATGTAAAGTAATTCACAGCCTCTTCCCTCTTCTCTCTGAGGAGCAGCAGGTTCAGCTTTCAGAACAAAGTAACAAAAAACTAAAATGGCATTCATTTTTTTAAATATGTCGTGTAGTAATAGATTTATTTATTTTTCTTCTCAAGAGAGTAGCCTACCAGAATGTGTATTTGATGTTAGTATTTCAAAAAATCTCCTGCGGGAGAATCCCCCCCTGCAGGGGTTGGGTTTTCAGCAGGTCAACTCTTTCACCTGTGGGTAAATTGCAGGATTGGCTCCAGGTCGCCCTTTTTATTTACTACAAGACAAATTAGCCTTTTTATTTCACACAGTTCAATTTGGATTGAGACAGGGAAATAATCTAAACCTCACGCGTGGCGTTTCACTGTCAAGGCGGGCGATATAGCGATATTACATTGCAAATACTGACTTGAACCCCACGACTGTATGGGTTAGCCCTACCATAGATTACCCAACAAAACTACTCTGGCGCCGCCACTGCTTATTTCAGCCCAATATTAAGCAATTTAAAACCACAAAGTTTTACTGAAGTATACCAAAGAATAGACCAGACTTTTCCTGAAGGATTTGATGCTCTTCTATTTCAAAAAGCTGTCTAAATGCTCTGCAAATTGCAGGTAATCATACTGTATAACCAATGTGTTCCACACGCTGATTTTACAATATCATTCTCCTCCTCCATGTTTGCCTAAATCAGATTACGTTTCAGGGCAGCTGGATATGCGAAATTGCAATATGGCAAGATCAGTTTTGCAGAATCTCTACCATTATTGAATGAAATATGTACATGTGTATTTTGGTGCATGAGATCATTTCTGTTAAAGGTGGGGTAGTAACCTCGAGATACACTTTTTGTTATATTCCATGGAATGCTCTTAACATCCGATAGCAATGAATATCTGAAGTGCTTTGACAAAAAATCCATAAAAACATTTCATCTGTGGAAGCCGTAATACTGTAAAAAGTACATCCAATCCGTTTAGCCGGGCCGGCTAAACGGATTGGATTGCCGCCCTGTCTGTCAGCCTTCCATCTCGTGCACGCACAAATGTATCTCGTGCCCTCATTGGGTGTGCCGTCATTGGGCGTGCATTGCAGCAGTACTTCAACGACTCGCCAGCAACAGGCGGCCACTTTCACCAGTCTGCTGACGTCATGTGCGCGTTCATGTGTGTTGGAGGAGGTGCTCTGTAAGGAAGTCTGAAGGAAGGGGCGGGTTATTTTCGGCTGTGTACTTTCAAATTTTAGTGCACTCGAGCCGGTTTCTGAAACTTACCTACCCCACCTTTAAGTTAATTACATGATAATGAATCCCTTCCGTAGAAGAAGGCGGAGAGACACAAACACAAAGTGCAGCAAAAACTTTATTCGACTTTGTTTGAATGATAAACAAAAACAAAAAGTCATTGAAATATCAAACCTGCATGGATGAGGATGACCCTCAGTCTGCGCAGAGTCTTCCCATAGACTTCATTCAGCTGCTGCAGGGCATACAGAGTGGAGCCTCCATTCCCTTAATTAAACACAAGGTCATTTAAGTATTACAAATATAAATGCTGTGCTTTGTTGATCCTCAGCAACAGATAGAAAGAAGTGCAATAAAACCGTCTGAGTCGCTTATAGAGCTGAATTTGTCTCTGAAACATGATTTATTAGAAACATGTTATGTGTTTATTTGATAGATACGTTTTTTCTTTGCAAAACTAAATGCATTAGTTTGCAGATGGTGTTTTGTATTTGCAAACCACATTGTGTTTGTTCGTGAATCATGAGGTATTTGTAAAACCTGTTTAGTTTGTTTGTGGAGTTATGGCAGGAAATTAGCTCCATAGTCGCTCACCTATTTTAGATCCAGGCGGGTCTGCGAACACTTTGTATTGAACTCCGACCGGAAGCTCTTTTCTGAGCAGCTTCTCTCTGATCTGCAGCTCATAGGCTTCTCTCTGGTTCTCATCCACAGCTGTCAGCACCACCACGTCCCAAAACTCACCGGGCTGCACCTCTCCAGCTGCAGGCGGAGAAAAAGCAAGTGCTTATAACACAGGAGGAGGAAGTATACCTAGGAAAATAATACAAGACAGTTAAATCAAACTCACCGCGCAGAGAGTCAAACTTCCTGAGTTTTTCTCTGGTTGCACTTTGTAACCTTGTGCTACATTCCTGGCTCATTCTGTCGCTAGTGTCTCATAAATGTTATCTAACACGGTATACTGTGCTGCAAATCTGTCTCTTTCAGTCTCTCACTTCCGGTCACGTGTTTAGTGTTTACAATGTAGGCGGGTCATTCTACAGAAAAGGTGGAAGTGCTAGGCTTGTTTGAGACGCGTTGCGGCTCGCCTCGAAAGTAGACGAGAATAGCCGATCGCAGCCGGGGGAGGTCTCAAAAAGCTCGCCTGAAGTCGGACAGCTCGGAGTCAGCTTCGGCTTCTTCTTCTTCTCTCCGTTTTTTGGCGGATTGCAAACAACTTTAAGGTGCATACCGCCACCTCCGGAGTCGGCTTGACTCGGTTTACATTTATAAAGAATACACACATGTGTTTAATCGTTAATGTCAGATATGTACTAAGTAAATACATTTGTTCCTGCTCAAGATTAGATTCAACTTTATTGTTATTGCACATATTACAGGTAGGCCTACTGAGACAACGAAATGCAGTTTAGCTTCTAGTCAGGTGCAACAAGCAGTAAAGTGAAAAGTAATGTACACAATAGACAGAATAAAATATAGAATGAATTGAATGATGAATAAACAGTGAGGGGTATGAATACACTAGATATCAGCCTGTGAGCAGTATGAACAGTGTGTATGAATATGCTAAGATATATAAAGTATGAAAACAGTAAGCAGTGCAAGTATAGTATAAAATATATAGATATTAATTTCATGATAATAAACATTGGAACAATGATGAAAAATGGGAATGGATGTGGCGACGTAACAACCAATCACATGAATGTCCCGCCCCGGACATACAAAGCAAAGCATTCATGCTACATCGATGCTGGCTAAATATACTGTCTATGCTTGCTAGCTGTCCATTCAAACGAAGTACACTGGATATAAACTCCCCAAACAGGCGAAAACCTACCAGTTTCACCCACTGTCTCTGCCACCTCCCCCTATGCCTGGCTCCTCCGGTTTGTATCCCTGTATGTAAAGAGGGACTGGTCATATAGTACCGCCACGATAATTTTCTCCTCCATTTTTTAACATATGGGAAATAACTGCGGTCTGGCTCTCCCAACATACACGCGGTTTGATTGGCTAGCGCTTGGAATGTCAGATTTGCATACGCGGGATTTGATTGGCTGACGCCTCCGTCGAGGCGGCAAAAGTAGAACATTGCTCTACTTTTGCAGCGAGCACCGCGAGAGAAGCTACGCTTTGCTCCCACAATGCAGTTCTGCGAATCGTGACGTCACCCCATTCAAAGTGAATGGGCAGAAGCGTTGAAGCGGCAACGGGCGTCTTTTATGGAGTCAGATTTGGGTCAATATTCTAGCGCGCAAAACAAGCTACTCACGAGCGGAAAATGTGCTTTTACACGCGCATGAAATGACCCTCGCGCGCAGATTAAACCCCCGCGAGCGGCTATGCGCTCACTCGCGAGAGAGACAGCCCTCTTGCTCCCTCGCGGGAGTGTCAGCATCACTCGCTCGCGGAGTCTGTCTACGCGCGCATGAAAAGTTTCTGGCACTTTGGGGCGGAGCCACTGGACTTTGATTGACAGCTGCAAGGAAGCCCGAAGTTGCCAGGTTTGATAAACTACCAAGAGCCGAGGAGTGTATCAATTAATTTGATATAAAAAAATGACACATTAATTCTAGGAGTGCAATACTTTGACAAACACTATAGTAATAATATGCATTCATTATGACAATATCATACTATAGGAGTGTTCTATAGTGTGTTCAAAAAACAACTACAGAAACACTATATATTATACTATAGCTATACAATTTAAAATAATATAGGAATACTACAAAGATCTAGATACATAGTATTACTATTGAAATATTATAGGGCTACTATGGCACTACAGAAAAAACTATAATAATACAATAGCTGGTGAAAAATACTACAGAACACTACAAACTTACTATAGGACACTATACAACTCTTATAGTAGCCTATACTATAGTAATACTATAGTTCATTTATAGTTCATTTCGTAAGGGAGGTGCATACAGCAGACATTAGCTAGCAGTTTTTGACAGATACAGCCCACTCAAAAATATATTGTTTTATATAAAATTAATTAATATATATATATATATATATATTAGCTGTACACTTTACGAATGTAATAGTTTTTTATGGACAACTTTACCATTCAATCTCGTCCAACTGATTTTGCTGCCGTCACTCCTCGGCTCTTGGTAGTTCAGGCATTTATCAAACCTGGCAACTCCGGGTTTCCTGGCAGCTGTCAATAAAAGTCCAGTGGCTCCGCCCCAAAGTGCCAGAAACTTTTCACGCGCGCGTAGACAGACTCCGCGAGGCTGATACTCCCGCAAGCGAGCAAGAGGGCTGTCTCGCGAGCGCCTCTGCGCAGAGCCGCTCGCGGGGGTTTAATCTGCGCGCGAGGGTCATTTTATGCGCGTGTAAAAGCACATTTTCCGCTCGTGAGTAGCTTGTTTTACGCGCTAGAATATTGACCCAAATCTGACTCCATAAAATGACTAACCATCATGCAACGCACTAGCAAGACGTTGATCGCAACTGCGCAGGTCTCGCTTGTCTCAAACAAGCCTACTTACTTTTGCAGACACCAAAATACATGACGTTGACCTAATACTCACATTCATTATATATGTTGAATAAATAGAGATTGTCTTTGCAATGGTACTAAATAAAAAATGGTTTTATACGTAAATTGCAATTTATTTAAAATGCCAAGTTCAAGGAACTGCCTTTTGATCATACATGGAAGTGGAGCCTATACTTTTAATTTAAAAGATTTTTTTCAATAAATAAATCTAATTTATATTTACATAACATTAGAAGCATTAAATATAACACTGAAATGGTAACAAAAATTACGTCATTGGTGTTACTGCTACACAAAACGCTTTTATTTTGAAATAATATACTGTCTCTGAAGTGCCTCCTGTAACAGATCATTTGAGGCAGTGCAGTGGACAAAGAGATAAGGAAAGTCAGATACTTCTTACTTTGTTTGTTAAAGGTGTCATTTTATCTTCAAATTTTACATGCGTCTTTCAAGTCTGTCATTAGTGTTACTCATTGCATAGCCCTAGGGGTGAACATTTGAATGGGAAAATGTATTGTATTGAAGAGTTAAACTATTTTGATATTGACTGTAGCCATATTTGGTCTGACATGGCAGCCATTTTGTTAAAATGGTAGTGTTTTCTCCAAATTGTCACCGGTGTTACTCTTCTTCCTGGTAACACGTAACACCAGTGACATTCCTATACAAATAAGCTTTGTATAAAGTATAAAAAAAATAAAAATACTTGTTGTGGATTCATCAAGTTAAGAGTTACTTATTGCTATTTAACAGGTTTTAGATGTTTTTAGAAGGAATATATTTCAGCAGATTTGTATCACCCAGATTCCACCTTTTCTGTAGAATGACCCAGGTGGGGATTAGGGTTGCAAAGGGGCGGAACATTTCCGGTACATTTCCGGAAAGTTTCCATGAGAAGTTAAGCTGGGGAATTTTGGAAATATTCGATGCAAAATTAAACAAAAAACATGACTTTTAAAAAAAAAAAAGTAGAACAGAACAAGTTTTAATTATTTTATTGAACAATTATTTGTTTCATTGAAGAACGTAAAGAGGAATTTTGAGTTAAATATTACTCATCCCCCCCAACCCCACTCATTAAAAAATGAACAAAAATGCACCCCCCATCCAAAAATCCCCACAAAGTCCCATTCAAAATGTTAAATGAAAAGAGCCCTTCTCCCTCCAAAAAGTCCCATTAAACATGCAAATCTTCCTTCAAGCGATCCTCTGCATTTTTGCTAAACCCTTTCAATGGGCTCTTCCTGGCAGGGCCGGCCCTGACCAATTTGCTGCCCTAGGCAAGATTTTAGCTGGCGCCCCCCCAAGACTTTTTTTTTTTAATATTGAAGTTAAAAGCATCAATCTGGTGCACTTTGAGAGCAACATTAGGAGATCTATGGACACCTCTCAACACGATATGAAACAGAACTGTAAGATTTTCTTTTTCTTTATGGATACTTTACAAATCACTCCCCTTTCAAACTGTATTCTTGTTTATTAATAACAACTTTTTTGTACTGTCATATAGTATTTTATACCTGTTTTTCACCTATTCTCTTATTTTTTTATAACTATAATGATCATATAAAGGTGTGCCTTTACCTCACTGAGCTGAGGTTATCAGAGCCTCTCAGTCTTTCAGGGGAGAGCTCTCTAAAGCTCTCCCCCCGCGGCCGCTTACACAGTAAATTCCAATGTTAATAAAAGCACACTGTGTACGTTTTTTGGGAGTTTGATTTATTTTAAATTAACACTAATATAAAATTAAAACCTACCATTATTTCAAAAAAATAACAATTTCACATAAACCTCTGGTTTTTACTGGGTTCAACTTGATTTGGGGGGGGGGGGTGCCATAGTTTATGGGCACTGTACGCAATATAGGCGTAGTTCTGTTAGTATAAGATAATAAGATGTACTTTGTTGATCCAAAATCGGGAAACTGTGTTGTTATGAAATTTAAAAAAAAATTTTTTTTTTATTTCTAACTTTTATTTTATTTGTTCTCCCCAATTTTTGGCGTCCCCCTATGGGTTGATGCTCTTAGCATTCGCCTATACTGCCTATGCCGAGGGCCGGCCCTGCTTCCTGGGCCTCATCAACATCCAACTCTGAGTCTTCCTCTTCAGTGTCACTGTCAAGCCTTGTTGAGGAATGAGGATGGCTCTGTGTCAGGCTCAAAGAGCCTTAGGTTTGCCCGAATGCCAACCAGTTTTTCCACTCTCACATTTGTGAGCCTGTTGCGAACCTTTGTGTGGTCTCAATAGCCATGCAGTAAGCAGTGTGCTATGGCATGGATATTCAAGTGTCCTTGAATGGCATCTGTTTGTTTTAGTCAAGATTATGCTAAAATATACTTTCCCCAAGAAGAGCCAACCTTCTTTTTTGAAAATTCCCAGTTTATTCCCATTCCCGGAATTGTGCAACCCTAATTATTGTACGGCTCTGGGCGGGGAGTGCAGGAGTATGTGGTGGTGAGGGTGGGTGGATCTGCAGGACATTCAGAGATGATGACCAATAACTCAGCCAATGTTTTATCATGTCTGTAGGAACATGTTGTTTTTTATTTGATGCACCTTCAT